AGGAATCGATTGCATAAGAATCGATATCAGCTGATTCAGATGCGGCACTGGAATCGGCTTTCTTCGAATGACGTCAGCAGATAACGACAATGAGCTACGGTTGACGTCGGGAAATATATGTAGGACTTTACAAAAAGGGAAAGATTAGGGTCCAAGTTATCTTAAGTTAGGAATATTTTCTTTATACCAAAAGATTGTAATGAGTCGTACTTGAGTAGGATTCATACTCAGGCTCCAGGTATAAATATTGGACCCCGGCCATTGTAAAAGAGGGAATCCAATCAATCAATACAAATTACTTTTTTCGGCTCCGTGCCAGCCCTTAGGAGTAGTAGTGTTGTAGATCTCGGCGAGTTCTTCAACAAGCAGGGCTGCATCAGTCCGGCCGACCTCCGGCTTGTTTGTAAGTACCGTCATGGCTTATACTTTGGTTTGTACGGCTGCATCGGTTAGGTTCGACCTCCACTGCGAACTCTGATATAAACTAGTTATCGACTTTTATCTAGTTCAAGTACAGCTGCATCGATCTGGTCGACCTCCACTGCTCGAATTAGATTAAGGTCAAATTATCGGCTCTACCTAAGAGTGGCATCCTCTGGGTAGATTCATTAAGTTACCGATCTTGCTGATGTTTTTATTATCATTAGATTCTCAGCAACATCAATCTGCCCGATCAAGATCGATCTAGATCGGCCTTATATCCTTTTAGTCCGTCGTTTGCTTTGTTACAATACAATGTTTCTTACTTTGAGTGACGGGTTACGTTTTATCGGCTGTTCTACTTCGATCTTGATTGCGCATAGTACGCAGTTAAGTCACGTATGCTCTTGAAGAGGTTTGCGGGCTAGTTAAATCTGGTCTATAGTTCGCTATTATGGCTGCAACGATCCGGTCGATCCCCACTGATGGCACTTTAGATTGGAGGATGCTAGTTGGTAGATTTGTTCCCGATCAGGCGTGACCTTAGCTGTTTGCTATGCCTGCATCGGCTAAATAGCCGATTGCCTGCACTTTAATGCTCATAGTATGTCTTCGTGATCCTGTTAAATATGAGTAGATCCATTTTGTTTAAAGATTTAATCTGTTATCTTTATTATGGCTGCCATCGATCCGGTCGAACCCCACTGTTAAAGATGATAGGTTAGGTTTGAGAAGTTGATAGGTCTGCTCGTATCGAATAGTCGATTGTTCACATGTTGTGACCCTTTTTCTACTGGAATCGACTCTTTTAGCCGATTCGTCTGCGCCTTCACAGATATAGCATGTCTTTCAAAAACTTTTCAAGGTATGGATGGTTTTGTGAATTCTTTGGCTTTAGTTTGTTATTATCATCATAGCTGTATCGATCCGGTCGAACCTCACTGTTGATAATAGCGGATTAGATTCGGAGCGTTTGTAGGACTGTTCATACTAGACAGTCGTTTTGTTTGCATGTTATATCCTTTCTCGTCAGATTCATCGGCTCAATGCTTCGTACTGGTTATATTTTGTCTAGCTAATGATTTTACTTACATTTTTCCTGTCTGGCTGTTGGCCCATTGGATCACCGGTGTTGCCGACCACTCACCAACGCTGCCAACCACGACTAACGTTGTCCGACCATACACTATGACTAGAGGGAGGGCAACGATAGTTCGTGGTCGGCATCATTAGTACGTGCTCAGCAACATTAGTGAGTGGTCGGACATCTCCGTGCTAAAGATCCAGTGGGCTAACAATGGCGGCTCCCGAAGCGGCACACTTGGAACTGTCTGGGCAAGACCGGCATGTTCCACCTTAAATTACTGATAAACTTTCTCTCCTTGTCAATTGCAGGTCAAATTGACTGGCACGCCCTCGGGAGGAATTCGCAGGGTCGACTGGTCCTGCGTTGAAGCCAGATGGATCTCCAGCCTTGCTCCGTCAAGCAGATCCTTCCGGTTTGCTGTGTGCTCGGCGCATCGACACATTTTTGCGCCTAACTTAGTTGGAACTAAGACTAGGTGGCACAAGGAAGTGTGTTTCAAGTCCATCTCTTCGCACTGCTAAGCACACATGTGGATTATGTATGATGATCCCACGTTAAGTAGCATTATTATGGAAAGGAGGTAGGCATGTCCCACGAGTGACTTGACCATTGACCCACCTTTTGATCCTTGGCATACTAGTACTGCACCGTGCTATTCTGCCATTGTTATTTCTCTCTAGAATTTATATTCTGAATGTAAGTTCAGAAAGTAGAACGGTTTTAAGCTAATTTTTGTGTAACCTAGAAACTTCCAAGTGCTGGCTCCAATGCACAAACCTCAATTGTAATTTGGTGCAACATTTTCCTGAACTTAATTGTAATATGTCCCATAATCTCGGAAAGAAGACGAAACCTTTTTAGAGGAACTATGATGGGCAATTGTTAGGTTGTAGATACGTTGTAAGGTTCAAGGTATACTTAGATTTAAGAGGACAAGCTAGGGTTTGTTCGATTTGGTAGGAATTGGAGGGATTAAAGGGCAATTAAGGAAGATTAAATCTCTAACAAGTCATAATCCCTTTCAATTACTTCTAATCCCCTTGATAGTAGAGGATTAACCGAACAAGGCCTAACTAAAGAAGAGCAGCACACTCTTGAGTCTAGAGTAATATGGTTTTCTATCTATCACAACCTCATACCCATTTACTCCACTCTATACGCTTCATGTCACCAAACTTCCTCTATTTCCACCATCCTATCCTTGTCCAGTGCTCATGCAACGTTTCCATGGCGAGTTAGTGATATCAACTCTTTACATATTATACCATGTTCTTTGTGAGATTTTAACAGCACCGTCATCTACACCTTATGGAACATATGAGAAGATTCTAGAATGCTTCCTTACCCCCTTTTAAAGTCGCCTGGTGCATCGAAGAAGACATTTCCTAGAGATGGCATACAATGCAAGCATACTAATTGTCGGTGTTTCGGACCGGGGGGTCCTCAACCAACCAGTAAATGCGAACTGCGTGCCCCTAATCCCAGATGGTGATGCAAAGAGACACAAGGCTTATACTGGTTCAGGCAATCGGTGCCCTACGTCCAGTCTAGGAGATCGATCTTGTATTCTTTGCACCGAAGTGCTTGTAGTAGGGGGTTACAAGCTAGGTGAGAGAGGGAGCTAGTCCCAGGTCTCGGCGTGGAGTGGTGCGGACTGCTTGAGTCGTTGCTCTCGAGCAGCGTGGGAGCGCGCGTGAATTGAGTGAGTGCGTTTGCGCGTGAGGGCCGGCGTGGTCTCGATCTATAGAAACGGCCCTGGCTGCTTCCTTTTATAGCCATAAGGAGGGAGCCAGGAGTACATGAGAGAGCTACACGTGGAGCCTTAGCGAGGAAGGAAGATCCAGTACTATGGCCTATTCCTGTAGCAGAACAGTGTCGGGAATGGCAATTGGTACTTGATCACTGGTGCGTCATGCCGGCCATGCCTGAGGCTATTGAGGTCGTAGGGGTCCTCGTTGACGTTTAGTCAGCATGACCTCCTCTGTAGGTGACATGCCGTGCCTTGTGAATTTTTGACTTGGTGGTTCGCCGAGACCTGGCAGGTGTTTGTGGCCGGCCGTGCCGAGGCCTGATTTGCCGAGGCCTGGGAGGTGACCTGAGTGCGATGTGGCGGTCTCGATGGTCAGCTCCGTACCCGGTTTAGGTGGAAAAATGCAGGGCGTGTGTCCGCAAAGCACGGTAGTCCCTACACCGTTAGTGGGGAATGGTAAAAAGGAGATTTGACCGCCGGCCCCATCGCCTGCTATGCTATGCCACGCCAATCGTGGTTGACGAGGCGCAACTGTGGGGTACTTACACGGATGGGACGGCCCGCCAGAGGGGGCGATTGAGGCGGAGACGACGAGGATGTGGGACGAGCCGGCCTCGCCGAGGCGGAGAAGGAATAGTACGCCCGAGACCCGCCGGGGATCTCTGGACGAGCGCGAGAACAGTAGTTGGGCTCTCTCTGCGGTTTTGAGACTACAGGACATGGACTTGACCTTCCATGCCGCTTTGTCCTTGGCACACGGGGTTAGGTAGCATACCGATGAGCATGATGGTGGTAGGTAACCCCTGTTGCGCCTAGTCCCCTGTCTCCGCCGGTCGTTTCGTCAGATCGCGTGCTCGAAAAGGGCCGACGTTCAAGGGAGTAGTTAGGCGCGATTAACGGGACGTGACGTTTCGTCGGAGGAGTTTGGTCGGGACGGAGGCCACGAAAGTATGTTTGCCGAGCCCGGCCTCGAGCGAATCGGAGAATTGGCATCCCATCCGAGGCCTTTCGAGGCGAGACCTCATGAGAGGGTCTCGTGTGAGAGGGCTCTCATGGGTGCTTTGGCCTTCAGATGAGGCCTCAAGCAAGGCCTCGAGCTTTAGTCGGAGAATTTCTGCAGAGACCTGGCGGTAGTTTTTTGGTTCTGATTTTGCAAGGTTTAAGCGACATCTTTGGTTCTTGCTTAGGGTACCCCTTCTTGTGGTGTCCGACACTAATCTTCCTAATAAGGCACTGCTTTCTCATAGGTCTTCGGTTTTCGCATATAATTTGATAGAGCACTCTAGACTTGACATGAGACTTAAACTTTGTTTTCTCTTCTACCTTAACTAAAAGGTAGATGTAACACAACCATTGTTGTTCCGAATCACACCGTGCTTATCTAACCCTCACCGTTCCGCCCTCGCCTAGGCATTGCCTCATCTCTCTTTCCTTGCACCCAACTCCTCTAAGATAAGAAGGAAATCCTCCGTCCAAATCAAAGTCATTGCCGTGCTCACTCGTTTAGCATATCTTCACTCTTTTAGTACGGGTGAACGTGGCATTTTTATATAGGCCAGAGGAACTGTAATCCCGACAAACGTGCCCTTCATTCCCGTTAACTGTTATGGCCAGAAAATAAATTAAAAGAAAAAGAAAAATAAAAAGATTCGTCATTCTTCCTGCTACCTACACCCAGCTCTCGTCCCCCAAAATCCATTTCTCCCAAAATATTCCTTTTTTAATTCAAAAAAATCCCCGTCCATGGCGTCCTCCTCCTCCTCCTCCGCCTCGTCGGCGGCGGCCGCGGCAGCGTATCCCAGAACCACGCTCCCACTGCGGCGGCGCCCGGGCCTGCTAGCCCTCTTCCTCATCCTCCTCTGCTTCCTCTCCTTCCAGGTTTGTACCCACCCCGTCGCCTCTCACCCCCACTGTTCACTGCAACGGCCAAATGTTAGGTTCATCGCGTTCCGACCCTCAGAGCTAGGGTTCTTTCCTTTTCTCATTGCTCCCGTCGCTCCTCCTCCGCAGGTCGTGATCCATGTGCCTGCCACCAGATCAGCGGTGTCGCAGTGGCTCTTCTCGGGTCACCGAGCGTAAGAAACCATCACCATCCTTTCCTTCCTTCCTTCCTCATTACTACGCGATTCAGCAAAGGCTCTGACTTCGGTGTTGCGGTGTGATTTTGGATTGTCAGCGACCATGGGACTCGCGACAACTGCCCTGGCTGCAGCAAGTTACAGGTCACTCTTTATTTATCTATCTGAATTTGGCTGCTCAGGACACACGATTGCGTTGTGTTGCTTCGCTCGCCATGCTAATGTTTGCACGGTGAATGGTTAGCAGGATGTGGACAAAGCTGAAAAGACGATTGCGTCCACTGACCAGCATGGCCGGATCAAGCTGTTCAAAATCACCGCCAGAGAATTCGGTTCGTCCTCTATCTGGGAGAACCCTTGGTTGCCCAGAGATAGGCAGCCGGTAGCCGGAACAGTATGTTCTGAAAAAAATAAAAAAATTATCTGTGTTGTTTGTGAGGACAAGTTGGTAGGTTGTTCTATTTTGTTTGTAGCTCTAATGGGTGTTTCTTCTACAGTTGCGCCAGCAAGAGGCTGCCAGGGATCGTCTACTCGCCAGTGGATCAGAAACCACCAATCTTTCAAGTACTGAAACTCTGGCTACTACAAATGTCGATCCGATTAAATTAAGGCGACAGGTCAATTCTATCCTTCCTCTGTAGTGACTATGAAATACAGCACGATGGTTACTTATTTGTGTTTTGAGAATTTTTGTTTGGCTTACTGTGTGATGTGTTAATCCTGCCCATCTGAGTGTTGGTGTGCCGCTATTGCTCCTGCAGGTATTTCGACGTAGAAGAAAGATGCGGAGGGTTCAGGAGCTGCTTCAGATGGATAAGAAGGTTGAACTTGACATGAGGAATGCAGCAATAAATAGCTCAAGGAACTTTAATAATAAAGTTAGAGGCAGCTACAACATATGGAGGCCGGAGTTCCGCTTTATTAATACAGATTCAACACTAAGGCTCATGAAAGATCAGATAATAATGGCCAAGTTATATGCCACTCTTGCACTCTCCCAGAAGGAACCAGACATGTATGCCTTGCTCATGAAGTGCATAAAAGAAAGCCAAACAGCTATCGGGGATGCACTTATTGACAGTGAACTCGATTCTAGGTACTTCATTTCCCTTCTAAAGATTAATCAGTTTGGCTCTTTCCCATTTTGGTGTTAAAGATTAAGTTGCTTATGGCCCCTTATTTCTGCAGTGCCTTAGAGAGAGCAAAAGCAATGGGGCATGTGCTGTCTTCGGCTAGAGATGTTCTGTACAGCTCGGGTGAAGTGTCAAGAAAATTGCGTGTTATGTTGCAGTCAACGGAACTAAATATCGATGCAGTGAAGAAACAGAACTCATTTCTGGTTCAGCATGCTGCGAAGACTGTCCCCATGCCCTTGCACTGTCTACATATGCAGCTGACAACTGATTATTATTTTCGTGATGACGTGACCAAGGAGCATTTTGATGATGATGCTTTGAAGGCGGAACAATATAAAGAAAAACTTGAGGACCAATCACTCTATCACTATGCTATATTTTCTGATAACGTGCTTGCAGCCTCAGTAGTTGTCAGATCAACTGTGACAAATGCCAATGAACCAGAGAAGCACGTGTTCCACATTGTCACTGATAGACTTAATTTTGCAGCCATGAAGATGTGGTTCATTACTCATCCTCCTCAACTGGCAACTGTTCATGTGGAGAACATAGACAATTTCAAATGGCTCAATTCGTCATACTGTTCTGTTCTTCGGCAACTGGAGTCAGCTCGCCTCAAAGAATATTACTTCAAAGCACACAATCCATCATCACTCTCTGATGGAAACGAGAATCTGAAATACAGGAACCCAAAATATCTGTCCATGCTCAACCATTTGAGATTCTACATGCCAGAAATTCACCCGAAGCTTGAGAAGATACTGTTTCTTGATGATGATGTTGTTGTACAGAAGGATTTGACATCCCTTTGGGATATTGATCTTAAAGGGATGGTAAATGGCGCTGTGGAAACCTGTAAAGAGAGTTTCCATCGCTTTGACACTTATCTCAACTTCTCTCACCCAAAGATCTCAGAGAACTTCGATCCACATGCTTGTGGGTGGGCTTTCGGAATGAACATGTTTGACCTCAAGGAGTGGAAGAAGCGAAATATCACTGGAATATACCATTATTGGCAAGATTTGGTAAGTAGTGGCATAAGAAATCTACTGCTGATTTCATTGTCTTATTGCATTTTGCCCATCATTTAGTGAACCTGTAATGAATTTTGTTGTTTCACTTACTAAGAGAAGACCTGTTGCAGAATGAGGATCGTAAGCTGTGGAAGCTGGGTACATTGCCTCCAGGTTTAATTACTTTCTACAACCTGACATACCCGTTGAATCGTACTTGGCATGTCTTGGGCCTGGGCTATGATCCAGCTGTTGACATTGCTGAGATCGATAATGCTGCAGTAGTTCATTACAATGGGAATTATAAGCCCTGGCTTGACCTTGCCATTTCCAAGTACAAGACATACTGGTCCAAGTATGTAGATGTTGACAACTCACATGTTCAGCATTGCTACGAAGGCAAACAATGACATGTAAATCTTCATCCAGTTTTGTTTTTCATTTCAGAGCATAAGTTATTCCCTAGGAGGGTGTTAGGCAGAGTAGTGGTGTGTTTAGCATAGTTAAGTCTTCATAATCTAGTCATTATGCTTTGTAGTTATCTAGCTATTCTTATATGAACTGGTGCATAAGGTGATTTATACCGCACAGCAAAGTAGATATTCTTTTGTCTACTTTAGGATTTGCTGTACCTTGAATGAATTGGCAAAAAGATGAAAAAAGTTTAACTGCTTACGTCCTGCAGTATGAACACTGTCCAGTTATAATGGAGTACTGAATATTGATGCTTAAGAATGTTGAAATAAATGGAAGTAAAACAAAGGTCTCAATCACAGAACTGTGCCAAAAGCCTAGAACAAAAGGGCACTGTTACTGTTAGGGATGAGTGACTAAAATGGACTGAGTGAACAGATCTTGATCTTACCTATACCATAGATGGCACCAGAAATGGTTTCGCTAATGATATTATGCTGTATATGTAACATCTTTCCTCTTTCCTAGAAGATTGGCTTCTGAGTCTGACTTCTGAGATACCATCTTTTTCTTTAAGTATTTGATTTTATGACACCATTGGAACATCTATCTCAGTTATCTCAGTGAACTGAGATAGCCCTGGACCTTCTGTAAAGATTAAAGAAATGTAACTAATGCAAACCCTGAAATTAATCCAGGATAGCTCCGTGTCTGTTGTAGGCACTACTATTCTGAAGAGACATTTTCATGACTTCCTCATTTATTCATAACTCAAGAAATACAAAAATACTACAAAAAACGATGAGGCATACAAAGTGGATGGTATGACACCACACCAATTGATAAGTTTTCAACACACTCAGAAAAATGACAAAAAGTATTGCGAAATTCAATAAGAATTAGCAGAAACATAATGACCTCTGTACGGTGATTATTATTCAAGTCTTCATCTGATCTAACGTGACTTTTATCAGTGAAACGGGGATATTGATGAAGATGTTAGCCATAGAATCAAAGCAGGGTGGATGAATTGGCGACAAGCATCTGGTGTCCTATGTGACAAAAGGGTACCACAGAAGCTAAAAGGCAAGTTTTATAGGACGGCGATTAGACCTGCTATGTTGTATGGTGCAGAATGTTGACCTACGAAAAGACGACATGTTCAACAGATAAGTGTCGCGGAAATGCGTATGTTACGTTGGATTTGCGGTCATACAAGAAGGGATCGAGTTCGGAACGATGATATACGTGATAGATTAGGGGTAGCACTAATTGAAGAAAAGCTTGTTCAACACCGGTTGAGATGGTTTGGACATGTTCAACGGAGACCTCCAGAGGCACCGGTGCGTAGTGGAATCCTAAGCCAGGATAGTAACGTGAAGAGAGGCAGAGGAAAACCGAAGTTGACTTGGGTAGAGGCAATAAAAGGAGACTTGAAAGGATGGAATATACCCAAAGACTTAGCCTTAGATAGGAGTGCTTGGAAGACAGCTATTCATGTGCCTGAACCTTGATTGCTTCTGCTGGGTTTCAACTCTAGCCTACCCCAACTTATTTGGGACTTAAAGGCTTTGTTGTTGTTGTATGCATCTCTACAGCAGCATCACTTATTAACAGCCGCTCTTTGGGTGATTGCTTTGAGCAAAGTACAGCAAGCTGGATGATAGCAGCCAAATGTTCCTTTGTTCTGGCTATATCTCTTGTAGCATTTCTATTGTTTCCTTCATCACGCAGCCAGATTCTGGAATCTGCTATTTCCATAACCTTATCAGGATGAGCTGCCGTAGCAAAGTAATGCAGGTTTAACCCATCTCTGAACATATCATCTGTTGGGCTCCTTCCTGTAAACATCTCAATCAAAGTAATGCCGGGACTGTATACATCACCATAAGTTGATACTGCAAGCCCTTCTCCATATTCTACAATAGATTGAAACAGAGCACAAACAGGTATGCACAAACTTGTTTAATGAGCGTACAGCTAACTGAATCTAATTATGTAAAGCAGGCAGGAAGCATCGATATTACCTGGGGCAACATATCCAATGGAGCCTCTTATTCCGATGCTGCTGTTTGAATTTGAAGAAGTGCTTGCAGCTTCATTTATAATTCTAGCGATGCCAAAATCTCCAACATGAGCCCTCATGTCCTGATTAAGGAGAATGTTACTGGGCTTGAGATCGCAGTGGATAATCGATGTCTGGCAGCCATTGTGGAGGTATTCTATAGCATCCACAATGTCAACAGCGATATCTAACCTTTGTTCCAAGGTGAGTGTTCCACTTCCACTTTCTTTTTCAGTATCTGAGTGGACCCAGCTATCTAAGCTTCCATTAGGCATGAACTCGAAGATTAGTGCTCTGAAGTCTTGACCTTGGTGGTCGATGCTTGAACAGGATGTGATAATCTTTACAAGGCATCGATGCCTCACTCTTCGCAGTGCCTCACATTCAGCCTCGAAACTTTTGTATGATCCTGGTTGCTGGAGATTAAATACCTTGACTGTCACTATAACTACAATGCCCTGATTTTCTACATTGCCTCTGTACACCGAACCGTATCTTCCCTTACCCAGGAGATTGGCTTCTGAAAACCCATCAGTTGCTTTGAGTAATTCATTGTATGAAACCATTGGAAGATCAATCTCAATGAAGGGAGGTGGACGTTGTTCTTTCGTCGTTGTAGCCTGAGACCTTTTTCAAAGAAATACAGCCAAAGCAAGACCAGAGAATAGGACCAAAATAGCTTCTACTGCAGGCACTGCTATTCTAAGAGCCACTGGCATGGTTTTCTTGTTCTTCCTCGCAGCAGAGTTTGGGCATCTTTGAAGATGAAGCTGTGGTATTCCACCGCATAACCCTTTGTTTCCAACAACTGATAGTCCAGTTAGATTCTTGAAAACCCCTTCTGTTGGTACTTCTCCCTGTAAATTGTTGAAGGACAGATCGAGACGGATCAGTGATGTTGAATTGCCAAAGAGTTCTGGGATTTCTCCTGATAGATTATTGTTGGCAAGGTACAGCTCCTCCAAGTTAGTGATACTGCCTAGCTCCCCAGGGATGCTTCCGTTCAGCTTATTGCCCGTCAAGTTCAGTACAGCAAGCCCCTTCATATTCTTGAAAGTTGGAGGAATGTTTCCTTGAAATGAATTGCCATCCATTAGGAGGATTTCTAATACTATGCAGTTGCTGATGGTGTCAGGAATTTTGCCAGACAGCTGGTTTCCTGATAGAGCAAGCTGTTCATGATTTATCAGATTGCCAACTTCAAAAGGAAGAAGTCCCTCCAGTAAGTTGTCCGACAAAACCAAATATGCTGAGATTGATGTCAAGTTCATAATTTCATTTGGGATGGAGCCTCTCAGATGGTTACTGGATAGATCTAGAGCTATGAGCTTCCTCAAATTTCCAAAGCTAGGAGGAATTGATCCCTCCATATTGTTGGAATTTATACCAAGTGCAAATAGGTCACTGAGGTTTCCTATTGAGGATGGAATGGTTCCGGAGAAGTTATTTAAGCCCAGATATAGCTTGATCATTTGTGTCAGCTTCCCTATGCTTATTGGAATGACCCCTGTGAGTAGGTTCTCACCAAGAATAAGCTGCTGAAGGCCTATCAAATTTCCGATGCCTGATGGGATAACACCAGCAACATTGTTTCTGCGAATCCGTAGTTGGATGCTGGTGGACAAATTGGCCACTGAACTTGGTAGTTTCCCCGTGAACCTATTCCATCCGATGGATAGTACTTGAAATCCGCTGCAGTTTGTCAAGGAAGTAAGGAATCCCCATTGTTGCTCATTGTTTGCATGAAGCAGGTTTCCTTCCAGAGTAAACCATTGAAGATATTGCAGTTTGCCCAATGCGGAAGGAAAAACCCCAGTAAACTCATTGCCGGATATGTCAAATGTTTGGACACTGGAGAGCTTTGTGAGTGACATGGGAATAGTTCCAGTCAATCAGTTACCTGAAAGCCCAAAGAGTTACACTTTAGGCAGGCTTCTTCCGAGATCTTCTGGGAGATGACCATGAAGGTTTTTCACAGCAGCGTAAAACACTTTCGAAGATGACAGATTGTACAGTGAAGGTGGTAGCAGTCCTGAGAGGTTGTTGATAGAGAGCTGAAGGAACCAGAGTTGTGGGTTGCTCCCAATTCCTTCGGGAATGGATCCATGCAGATGGTTGCCCTTGGGGGACAGGACTGCAAGCCGGGAAAGGTTCCCCAGAGATGGCGGGATGGTTCCAGTGATGCTGTTGTTGTAGAGTTCGAGGGCACTTAGCATGGGCATGTTACCGATCTCGGCTGGTATGCTTCCTTGCAAGTTCTGGTTGTCAGCAATCACCAATATTTTGAGGCTGGTGCAACGGCTGATGTTGCTTGGGATGGTGTCGACAAGTGAGTTGTCCCGCAGGTCTAGATACCAGAGGCGGCGGAGGGAACCAATGGTTGGAGGGATGCCACCATGCAGGCTGTTGAAGCTAAGGTTGAGCCCCCTCAGGAAGGTGAGGTTGCCAATGGCAGGGGAGATGGTGCCTGTGAGCCCCTGGTAGTGGAGGTCTAGAACAACCACACGTCTCCGGCGGCCGCATGTGACGCCCTCCCAGCTGCAGTAGCTGGTGCTGCTGTTCCAGGAGGCCAGCACCCCGAAGTCGTTGGTGATCTTTGCCCTGAAATCCACAAGAGCTCTCTCGTCGCCATGCCCTGGCGTGGTGGTTATGGGCGACAGCAGGAGGATGCTGAGAAGCAGCATCATGGTCGGTCATGCCTTAATGTTGCAGCTAAATAAGTGTGCATATATAATGCCGTAGTCAAATAAATAGTCAGACTTTGCTTATTTTCGCCGTGAAAATCCTAGCAGTCCTGACAGCAAGTGGGCTACCAGTCTAGCCGAATGCACTGTTAACATGAACTACTCTGGCCCTGTTCGTTTCGCTGAAATTTGGCTGATGCTGCTGCTGATACTGAATTTTTTGAGAGAAAAACACTGTGCATTCGCTGAAAAGTACTGCTGAAGGGCATCTCTATTTTTCAAAGCGATAAGATCGTTGAAGTTGTGCTACATCATGTTTTCATTGGATTAGCAACGACCAGAAGACCTGCGGATAATTTGCATTCATACAGCCGTTCAAAATGTACTCCCCTCCGTTCCAAATCCAAATTATAAGTCGTTCTATTTTTTCTATATATATAGTTCTTACTATATATCTAGACATAGTATATATCTAGGTGCATAGATAAAACTATATATCTAGAAAAGACAATGAACTATTCACTAAGGATATGTCTATTTATTGTGTTTTGCCAAAACCACAACCAAAAGTCCAAAAGTCTCTTTGGTCGAATCCCTTCTTCCTTGACTAGAGCAGAGTTAGTCTGAACATGATCATTATGTTGCTTGACGAAAGATACATCTCCGTGACTTTGGGTAGACGATGAACAAATAATGATGCTGAGGCATTTGGCTAGACTGACCAAAACATGAGTGAGACCAGACCCATGTGACATGGATAATCCAACCCTTTCCCTAGATCGTTGATGACTTGATGGCACAGAGTGTCGTCCTTGGCTGGAAGACTGAAACTCTTAACGCAAGCTGTTCATCTGCTGTTTGTGTAGGATTTATTTTATCATTATTAGTTTTTTTTAGAATTCAAGGGCATAGCCCGGGCCTTCATATTAATAAAGACCAATTACTTTCAAAAAATATTAATAAAGACCAAAACTGGTTTAAGCATTCGTTACAGCAGAACCCAAACTGATACCACGCAGCATCCAGACATAAAGCAGACACAACTATCCTGACCGAAAATTCAGATTACATCTTCCAGACATCACCAAATATCGACAGATTAAGCCACTTCTTCTCCAGGACAGCTTGCTCCATATTTGCAGCATCCACCAGCAGGTACCCAGCTCCTTCAGGAACCGACGAGCATCTCCAGTTGTTAGCCATCTGAAAGTGAAGCCTCTCCCATTTGTTGCTTACTTGGTTAAGTGATCCTGAGAGGTCTTGTTGAGATACACTTAAGTCTGCCCAGCCGAGCAATGAACTCCTCCTGTTTCTCCTCCGAACAGAGAAGGGACCAACTCTGAATCTGTCACAAACCTCAATCCGTTGAATCTCACAACTCAAATCACATTACAATATGGACGTTCTAGAAGGTTCTAGAAGAGTCTAGATTCAGAGAACCAGTACATGGGAGGAGGTACAAGAATAAAGGATAAGAATCTAGCCTAAGCTAGCCTCGAGCGTGAGCTCGCCGCCGGTTCTGTGATCTGTTCTTCGACACCCTTCCGTTGCTACAGCTCCTGGATTTGTAGATTTTTTTTTAATTTTTAACACTTTTTAGAAACTATTTTCAAATTTGACACTGTTTAAGTTTTATTTTCAAATCTAACACTTTTGGCCGCGCCTACTGCCATGGCGCGGCCAAACCATGCTGCCGCGCCATGCATGGCGGCGCGGCGGAGCTGGTGACGTGGCGACAACTCGGGCGCTGACCGGTGACATAACGGGCTCTGCCGCGTCGCAGATCTTGGCGCTTCACTGCCGCGCCACGCCGCACGGCGCGGCGAAACCGCGTAAAAGCGGAACGCCCAAGCTCCCTCCCTCTATCTGTCACTCCGTCGAGGTTCGACGCCCACGTCCCGCGCCCGCACCCTTCGCCAGGGGGGCTCTAGCGCCGTCCCTCGCTCCCAGGCGGTCTTCAGGAGGCCGCGCCACCGGCCGCCTCCCCCGCCCTCCCTCCCTCCCTCCCAGGCGGCCTCCAGGAGGCCGCGCCGCCGCCCGGCCCTCACTGGCTGCCTACCTCCCTCCTGCCCTCAAGCTTCTCCTCGGCCTAGATCAAGGTATTGATGCTCCTATTTGTTGTTTGAACTGCGAATTCAAAGATTAGGATTGGTAGTTAGGATTTGGAGGAAAAGATTAGTTCATTTTTTCTATGTGAAGGCTAATTAGTTAGTTAGAACTATGGGTACCATGTTTGGTTTAAGGTTAATTTCGGTGCCTAAGTGTAGGTTACATTTTCTTTGTTTTACATTAATTTGTGATGCTGTGATTGGTTTTAAATTACAACCGTTTTGTTAGATGCAAGACACGTACCGGGAGCAGTTGTGGCGAAAACGGGTCGTCCTAGAGAATTATACCCCGACGTGCCTAGTAAAGATGCCCCCGTCCTGACCTCCCTGTCCCTAACTATAACTGTGGTTTCGCAACCCACGTGTTTCAATAGAGACATCCAGACATAGCTGCGCGTTGCTTCTACACATGCAGTCGTTTTAATGGCCATGTTCGCTTCTCTTATAATCTGTACTTTTCAGCTTCTTTTTTTAGTCGGAACAATGTTTTTCTCTCACAACAAATAAGCCGGAATAGTGTTTTGGCTTGTTTTTCCAGCGAAGCGAACGGGGCCAATGTGGTAATTGTTTCCTTATCTTTTTTTTTCTTCATTTGTGTTAGTAGTTTACTAATATTTTGTTGGAATCTTGTTGTATAGGACTATGAGAGGTGCCTTTTCTTTCAGTGGATCGATGGTCCAGACAAGTTTGACCCAAGGTACCTCATTTTCAACAATTGGTGTAGAGGGAGACATCCACGTGAGCACTTCGAGCGGTGGGTTCCACCACCCCCTAACCCCCCGCCAATGACGGCTAAGGAGAAGCACCTAGCCGCAGTTAGACGACTCAAAGAACCTCCCCTGTACGATTACGGAGATCGAGCTATGATAAACCTTGAGAATACGTTGTAGTATGTGTGTCCCAATAAGCATGAAGTAAGTGGAAAGTGTATCTGTTCAAATGTTTAGCTCTATGTGTGCATGTACTAATCTATTCTCTTTTAGTGCTTTGGATTTGCGAAGTGTCGTTTCAAGGAGTGACTCTATGATCCTAAGAATCAATAGTCGGAGCCGCCAAAGGCAAAGGAAAATAAGAAAAAAGGATAATCATCGAAGCGCCTCCTGTCATGTGCGAATGTGGTGTTAAAGCCAACTATAGCCTAGTCCCTTCAGAGCTTGGAATAGGCCATTGGTGCGGCCATATGGTTGACTATGATGAGGTTGGTTATTGTTGTGGAAAACATGAAATCATATTTTTCTTGTGTAAGGACTTATAATCTAGTTTTTCGTTTGAACAGAGCACTAGGAAATGCAAGGGGAAATCTTATGATGGTCAAGCTAAGTTCCTGGATGAAATCAAGGCGAAGCAAATAATTGCATGAAAGTTTGGTTATGGACCTCAGTTCGTCGAACTCTTCGTTATACAACACATAAAGAAGATGCGTGAGTTTGCTAGATAGCGTGGTTTTCGTAACTCGATCATTGTTAGGCTTGACAAATAGGGGTTGGAGAGACAGAGGAAGGCAGAGGAGGAGAGGGCAAGGAAGGAGGCAAGGGAGGAGGCAAGAGTACAGATGTTGGTCTTGAATGACCATGTTGTTGCATTGTATGCTAGTGAGTGATTGAAAGCTGATGGGGACGTGATTCCCAATCTTCCGTCAGGTTCAAGATAACTCTCGATTTAGTGGAGATTGACATACCGATCCGGCTTCAGATCACAAAAACCCGAACCCTGCAACCTTAGCACCACGTCTCCTTTGGTTATCAACTGTGTCACAATCCGATTGACCTCACCAAGAAGGCTAACCCCTGTTGCGAATCGAAGAACACAAGCAAGAATAAGATAACACGCAACTCAAGTATAGTGACAATTGCAGATATATGATTAAGATTTTGAATGTGGGGTTTCACAAACCGATAACGACGATTGTTCAATGACAGATTGATCTAAAGCAAAACCCAAACCCTAACGTAGGCGGAGGCTACTAATTATATAGCCTAAGGGGCATGCAAGCACCCTTATTCACGTCCCTAAGGAGCCCGACACGTTACAAGGCCCAAACGGCCTAAAAGATGGCGACACAGCGTCCTGACAGATTTTGGACGTTAACTTGTTTCAATGATTCCCGTTGATTCTGAAGGAATTTTGACGTGGGACCACCTTTATTGGTTAGCTTATCAAAATAGCTTTCCATCCATATGTGGATCGTCGAAAACGGAGTCCATATGCGGCTTGGGCGTCCATTTTACTATACGTTGCTCCTGGATCCCGAGATGGACTCGAACTTGACTTGGATTGGACCTCTAACTTGGCTTGGACGCCCTTGCTTGCCTCCTAAGGTGGTGGTCAAGGGGGAGGACATCCAAGGGCTTCATTTATATGTTCTCCATCTCCTTGGGCCGTGCTCCAACTTGGGCCAGAGTCCCAAGGGTGAAAAACAAGCCCATGATGATGATGTAGCTCCCGGCAGAAACAGTGACAACATGTCTTGATGATTTGGTGGCCTTGCCGATGTGATATTGAGATGACACCAGATATATTTGAAAGCTTATCAAACAAGATTTCTATCAAGTGCTCATTGACCTCGATCGCACTCCGGATGGATGAGTTATGACCTTCCCAATGAAGCATTATTGGGCCGCCGATGAACTGAAAATTCAACTTTGATGGACTTGCACTTTGAGACATATTTGTACCTACAAGCAAATAATGACATGTACATGTGGAACCAAGTGAATTGTACCAAAAATCACTATGTAAATGTAGGAATGAGATCAACTTATAATTAATGATCATATCCGAAGGTGTCATGTCCTCATCAAAAGCCTTGTTATTTTTGTTGCCTGTTTTTAAATGTAATATAACCGCGTTGCTAACTGGTTGTATTTTATACATGAAGGGATTGGATGCAACGAG